ATTTATTTAATATATTGTTCTTTTTAATCGATAAAAAATTTAAAAAAAAACACAAGAGTATTTTAAACAAATTTGTTGTAATTATTGAGAGGAAATCATTTGAACATTGATAAACGTTTAGCATATTTCTCAAATATATTTTTTTGTACATCCTGGCTTTGAATATTACTCTTCCAATGGCCACACTGGAAAGGATTATTATAAAAGATAACTTAACATAATCTTAGGACCCTTTAACACATGTGAATACTATGCAACCGCCTGAGGAGAGAGGGGTGGGAGTTAACTCACACTTTCCTCAGCATGCATAGTCAGTTTCTAATGTAGGGGAAATGTGCTAAGAATGGCCATGTTTTTGCTTTTTTTTAAAAAAAAGGTATTAAAATTTGGGTTTAACCAAACATATCAATGTGTAGCCTAATTATTAATCTTTAAAATGAAATTTGAGTCAAGACTCTATCTATAATAGTTTATAGTTTATGAGCTAGATGAGGTTATGTGAAAGATGTTTTTTGGCCACTATGTGTCAAATGGCCATAATATATTATGTAAGAATTTTATTATAAATATGAAATAATAAAATATGAAATATTTGTAAAAGACAATATTTCTACATTTTTTAGTTATATAAAATTTTAATTACACACTAATTTAATTAGTATTTTAATATCTCAATTTATCACCATCTATTTAATGAAAATATTATAAATTAATATCTTAATTATCTTTTGCTAAACATTCTTAAGCTTGTTCGTCATTTGAAATTTTATCAAATGTTGTTTTGCACGAGTTCATTTCAATATGAATATGTGAATGTACAAATTGTGGCCAATCAATACATGGCCAGACAATACTCACCTCTCTATTATTATTAAGCGCTTTTATATGTCTATTAAATAAAATTTTTAAGTCTAATTGTGTGAATAATGCTAAATTCCTAAGGATAATATTTATATAAAATATCAGTAATCTAAATTAGTAATTGTTTTCGCCAAACAAAAAAATGTGTAACGAGATTTTTCCAGAAAGGGGTACTAAAAATAGTTTATTTAAAATATTCTTTTATTGGATTGCTCTATTCAATAAATGAACTTAGGTAAAGTACATATCATAAATATACAAATTTTGACCAATTTTGAGAGAAATCGGTCCAACAGATGAAAAGTTAAAGGGTAGTGGCCAGTCTTCAAACATGGCCATTTATGGCACATTTCCTCTACAATTGAAATATATTCTATATTAATCATCAAATAAGTCTTAAACTTATTGATTATGAGGTTCAGATAGATATTTCCCACTTAAGATTACATCCATCACAAACTTTTAACAAGAAGTATAGTATACTAGTTTAAAAATCATATCAATTTTTAGAATATCTAAGGAATGTTCGGCATAATATAATCAAGATTGGAAACTTGAGATATAATAAATTCTTCCTAAAATGTGATTTCTTTAAATATTTCCTAATTTAAAATTATTTTACTTTTTTTAAATTGGCATATAAACGCATCTTTTAAAAAATTGAATATAATTCCTAACGGCAATGAATGGGTGTATATATAAAAAGTTGATATTGTGTGCTTTCAATAAAAGCTAATCTTTAAATTATGCTAAGACCTAAATATCGAATATTATATATAATTAATTTGATTATAAAATATATAAATTATATTTGTGCGAGAATTGTTAAGGGAAAATGTCTTTAACCCAATAACATTATATTTTTTTATTTTAAAATAATAACATGATTTTTTTTAAATATAATTACTATTGTAGTAATGATTCATAAAAAGCCATAAAGGGAAATTATTTTTATTGGACAAGATGAGATATATTTGAACTAATTTGACTCTTGAAATCAATTGATCAAAAAACGCAACTTTGCCAGTTCTTCTTTTTTTTGGTATATGATATGAATTTATTTTATTAAAAGGAGTTTTTAAATATTTTATCTGTCACGAGCAAAAACTTGTCCACTTATCCCCGGTCCCTCCTAACCAATAATTCGTAACCCATATTATGTTTATAAAAAAGATATCATTCATTTTTCATATCTATTCTAAAAAATCAGTCAATAGGGCTCACTTAAATTATGCCCTTTCTCGCATAACGCTATGGGAGTATTTTTTTGCCAAGGAAGCCAAAAGAATTTAGCGATAATTTCTAATAACTATTTTTTATAAATTATCCTTTTAAATTGATTTTAAAAAATTTTTATTGAGAATTATATTAGATAGATTTTTTATAAAAGATTTGGATTATTCTTAAGTAAGCGTAAATAATATAAGATTAAAAGTGTCACTAATAAATACGAAAAAAACTTTTTTAAAAAACCAATTTGAGTCCCGCTTCCTGACTTGTTTAAATATAAAATAATTTAACATTTATATAGTCGGCATTTTTCGCGATGAGAGCTCTAAATTTCCGAAAAATGAAAAATATATCTACTACATAATAATATGAATTATTTAATTATGGTAAGTTTAATTTCTATTTATTTTTAAAGAAATATTTAATTTTTTTTTAAAGAAACATTTAATTTTTTTTTAAAGAAACATTTAATTTTTTTTAGCCATTTTATACATTTATTTTTGTAAAAGAAAGAAAGAAAAGGTAGGAAGTTTAATAAATATACGCTATTCACAGTAGAGGACAGTTCTGGCCCAAACCGGCCCCTGGAAATATTTTTGAAAAGTCTTTTCGTTTCACCCATAAAATAATTTTGTACAAGTTGACCGTGCCCATAATCATTTTTTATGGAGGAAAATGACAAAAATTTGCCTACTTGTAAGCTTTAGAAATTACAAACCTTTGGTCAGGAGATTAAATATTTCGTAAAGTTGTCCATCAAAATTTTTGGTCTTTCCTCTAATATATAATCCCACTAAAGTTAGGGTGGGAGGGAAGGATCATGATGAACATGAATATTAAGTATCCATCCTGTAATTAAACCATTTAACATTTTACGGGGGAGTGGGTTTCTCACCGTCATAGCTTTAGAAGAGGGGTCTATAGGGCATTGAATCATGTAAACAGCGCTTATACGTTTTGATTCAGGTCATAAATTATATATTTTCCTTCCTTTAACGTCTAAAATAACTGGGTGATACTTTACATTCTTGTTTATATTTTTAAATTATTGCGCATTTACTTCCATTTTATCAGTGTTAAACAGCCTTTTAGTTCAAAATTTGTTCGAGAATATCCTCTTTTTATTAGAAATAAAGGCTGAATAAAGCTGTCCATTGCTCAAACGATCATATATTTTATAGAACGTTTGCTACTGTAGCCAGAACCCATTTTTAAAATTTACAGAACCGGGTCCAGAACCCTTTCCAACAAAAAGTGCAATTAATTTATATTTATTATTCAAATTCATTTAAAAGGATTATTTATAGTTTAAACGTTCGCGAATATTTTTTTCATATGCTTAAACAATGTTTGAAACCGGAAATTCTAATCTGGAACCTCTGGGAACCGCGTCTAATCTAATAACCCAGAAACCCATTTTTTTAAAAAAAAATATCCGAAACCGGAAGTAGTACCCTTTTTTAGTTCAAATTTACAAACTCTTTTATGCTGTATTTTATTATTATATTATTACGTTACTTTCCTATAAGAATGTTGATCCCTAAGTAAAATATTAAAATGTTAGGTTTAATATTCTTATAATAAACTCTATTATATTACATGATAATGTTTTTTTTAAAATATATATTTCATCTATTTCATGAGAAATCTGTATTATAGATTAAAAGAGTAGTTTATAAATTATTACTTCTAAAAAAACCTAAACTTATTTTTTAATCTCCCCCCCCCCTCTATAATATTTAAAATATTTACTTAAATTTTTTTTAAAATAATTTGCTAAAATCATAATAATTAAAAATGATATTTATTAGTATATAAAAAAAATTTTTATATTATATAATTATATTATTCCTTAAAAAATTTTAATCTCCTTTAATTTACATGTTATTTATTTTTTTTTAAACAAAAAAAACTAATATTTGTTAAATCCACCAATCAATAAAATTAACTATTTTAAAAGATAATTTGTGTTTTACTTTAATTTGATTGAGAATTCCTAAATATGTAAGTAAATGTTTAAAGTTTTCGGGATACATTTTATTATGATTTTATCAATTTTTTGTTCTTCTTATTCACGTTTAATAAAATAACGATATATTATTAATTATTTTTGTCTAAAACATATTCTAACTAAAGATCTGCAAATCATGGATCAGCCGGTATTCGGCATCAAACTGGTCTATTTTAAAAATATTTCGGTTCGGGCTGGGTCGGGCCTAATATTTTTTTAAAGAAATCAGGCCGGGTTGGGCTTAATTTTTTAACAATCAAATAAATTGATATATTTCAAAATGCTTACAAGAAACAAGGAGCTAATATCAGGCTTTTCTGGACAAATAAAAAAAATTTGTTCAGGATCGGGCCGGAGGGACAAATTTTTTGGCCTAGAGCTCTGCACTCGACCATCATTGGGCCGGACTCGGATTATTTTACCCCGGCTTTGGCCAAAAACTGAATTTTCAGGACTCGAAATCTCTTACCATCAATCATAAAAGGAAAGTTATTTTAGCATGCCCTTTATTTAACATCACAAGAAAAAGTTGAAAATTTATTTTGAATAAAATATAATAATAGGTTTTTTAAAATAATAATTATTATGAAATTATACTTAATTTTTATAAAAGAATAAAAGATTGGTCGGATTCGAACCGGTTTAAAACTATGGCTTTACTAATTTTTTTCACTTGAAGAGGCTCATTTTTTTAAAAAAAATTTTGATCATAAGTTAAAAATAAAAGGAAGAAAGAAATCTATCTAAAATTATCAAAAAAATGAGAAATTTCTATCTAAAATTAACACAAAAAAAGTAATTCTACTTAAAATTTACCTAAAAAGGACCATATCTCTAAATAAAATTAAATATTTTAAAAAGGGCTATCCAAAGTTTTCAATATGCTTCCCCATGTGTCCTCTCCCATATCCGGCTCTCAAATAATTTTATCACCTGACTCGTAAATATTTTTGGCCAAGCCCGGTCGAGGAAGTAATTATAAATTTGTATTCCTACAATCGGGATTTAAAGTCCCTAGGCTCTTGAAAATTTTAGCACCGGCCGGGAAATAGATATTATTAAATTTTATTTTAAAATATCTCAATTTAATTATTTTTTTAATAATAGATAATAAAAACATAAGTATAGTAATTAAATACTTATTTAAAACAAAATTTTCTAACTTGATTATATTTTATTTATATAAAATTTATTTTAAAAATAACATTTTTTTATATTAGTGTTTATATTGTATTTCCAATTCCTGCTTTATTTTCGAATTCCGTTCGATAAAGGATTACTATTACAAAAATGGATCCTCATTATTTAAAAAAAAGAAGAAGAAAATTCGACTAAAAATATTTAAAGTACATTTTAATAAATTTCTAATGGAAAATAATTATTAATCATTCTAAGCATCCACCAAAGAATAATGATAAAAAATTGAACGAAATTTAATCAATAAATCAAATCTGTTCGAGGATGAGTCCTCTTTCAGAATCATTGGCCAATATCTTGAATGATCACATAGACAACATCAATTCCACCTTGATTCCCGATAAATATCCCTTAAACCGCTCACTTTTTAACGGCACAAGGAAAAAAGTTTTAAATAATATAGCTTATAACCTCAGTTCGGACTACGACGATTCTTATGACCCTTACTCCGAATCCGAGGAATACAGTGAAACCCGAAACTTTGAACGTATTTTATCCATAGTCGTCCCTTTGATATTCGGGTTGATAGTGGTCATCGGACTGGTAGGAAATTCGCTCGTCGTTTGCGTCGTGCTGCGCAATCGCCATTTTAGGAGCGCCACCAATTTGCTCATAGGAAGTTTGGCCGTAGCTGATCTCTCTTTCGTGCTGATCTGTGTGCCATTCACGGGAACCCAATACGCACTGGCTCAATGGCCCTTCTCGGATTTGTGGTGCCGATGCGTGCAGTACATGATCAACGTGTGTGCCTATGCCAGCGTGTACACGCTCGTTTCCATGTCGGTCGTGAGATACATAGTCGTGGTATATCCCATGAAGAGCATGTACCTTTGTACAACACGGCGTACCATCAAGGTAATCTTGGCCGTTTGGGTCAATTCTTTCTTGCTCAATGTTCCGGTATTCTTCATTTTCCACAAATACAATTATGAATTCGGAGGCCAAAATCGTTCGGCTTGCATAATGATGAATACCCAGGCTTCCCGAACACCGCCCCAGATATTCTACAGCGTATTTTTTGTGGGCACATTTGTTGCTCCTATTAGCGCTATTTGCGTGTTATACATAATTCTTTTGAGGGCTCTTTGGGGCAAAAATAATCAGGCCCAGAGGCCACTTCCCAATATACCTCATAGCGTGATTAATTGTCATATGATAAAATCTAGACGAGCTAAACTAAGTCCTAAGGAAAATGCCCTTGCAACGCTAGACAAATCTTACCACAATGACTCATGCTACCAATCCTTTAGCAACGAAGTGATTGAATATAAAAAGACGTCCAACACAGCAAACGCGTTCCCGCTAGCCGTGTTAACCAAAACAGGGAACAGCGCCCACCTTAAAAATAAACGCAAGGTTACTAAGTTAACAGTTATCGTCGTCGTCGTATTCGCGCTTTGTTGGTTGCCCATCCACATTATGCTTCTAATTCAGTACTATTCGAATCACGAATTTGGACCAGCGTTTCAGCCCATCTTAGTCGCTGCTAACTGCTTGGCCTATATGAACTCATGCATGAATCCCATTCTTTACTCGTTTCTTTCCAGAAGTTTTTACACAGCGTTCTTGGAATTGTTGTGCCCCGGACTCGTAAAAAGGAGGAACAGAGAAAAATTGTTAAAGAAAAAAATCAGAAAAAAGTGTAATGGCATTCAAAAAAAAAGTTACGCGTATTCTAAACCTATTAAATTGTTGAATCCTGCGCCCAGCGATTCCTTGCCATCGGACAACTATGTTAATAACAGTTCCTCCGAAATTAAATTTCAAATCCCGAAAATCCATGTCATTCAAAATTCGGTAAAACGTGATGAAAATCTCTGTATACCTACCGTATCCAAAAATCAAGTACCACCCGTAAAAACTATGGTTCCAACATCGGCACCCATCATATCTGGCTCACCCAGCTGCCTGACTATTTCATCCAATTCTTATTATTCGGCAAAATCGAATAGCAATAAAAATACGGCTTCCATTAAAGATGATTCCCATTATTCATTATGCAATAACCATTTCAATACATTCGCCTATGATGGCAAAAAATTTAATTCGATCCCAAATTTCAAGACCAATACAGTCAATTCGATATGTCACTCTGCGTCAGATAATATTCCTAACATTAAAGAACTTATCGAAACAACTATTTGAATTGGATATTTTATAAACAAAAAATATTATATAAATTCTTTTTAGTAAAAGAATAAAATGATTTAAATGTTCAGTATTATGCGTGTAAAAAAAATGCTTAATGATTTTAATCGCATGCGCACAAATTGAGCGTTTGCATTTGCGATACTTTTTTGACTAAACAAAAACGTAACGCATTCCTTTGTTTAAATCGAGGTTGACATTTTTTTTATTTAATATCGTCTTTTCAAAATTTTATTCTAATTAATATTATTTAAAAAAATGAATTGGTTTTTGTAAATTATATTATCGTCGTCTGCCTTTCTATTTAAATTAATTTCTAAATATTTCATATTAGAAGATAGGTTTATTTTATTTTTACATTTTATAAAATATTAAATTTTAATTTACATATAATCATTAAACAACTAGGTAAGAATTTTTAGTGCCACCACTTTATTATTCTTATCTGGGTAACAAGTTTTTGTAGGCTTTCTTTTGTGAAAACAATAAAGTTCTTGAAGAACTGGTCATAGATTAACGCACAAAATGGATGAATTATAAAGTTTTGAAGAAAAAAAATAGAACATTTTTTAAAATGGTTTCTAAGGCCAAGCGGTAATTTGACCATTAAAAATATCAAAATTGTGAATTTTATGATTGGATATCTAAAAAGAAGGTATGATATACTTTTTTGTTTGGTAATGAATTGGCGTGAAGGGGTGTAGGATTCATTTTTACCCCAACTCTTCCTTCACTAGGCCGCACTAATGCGAAAACTAAAACGTAAGGGGGAGAGAGGGGGGGGGGGTTAACAAATATTTGTAAATTCTACCTCTTCTTTATTTATATATGATATCACCTAGGGTCTGTTTCTACGAGATATAGGGCAAAGTTACGATTTTACAATGATATATAAAACGCTATCATTTAAACCCTATTTTATATTCACAGCTACTAGTGTTGTTAAAAGTGGCCACGATCTAGATGATATTTAGAAAACGGCTAAATCCGGATTTTAGCTATAAAGGAAGGTATTATCCAGTCCTCGATATTTCATCACAAACTTCTTTTGTCAAATCTGGAAGTTTCAAGAATATTTATTGTTTTAGCCGTTTTTTAATCAACGAATGCGAGATTTTTAACAACACTAACAGCTACTTGTTTTATGTATTATACTATAGTATTCATCAGTTTTTTGAATAAATAAACATTTCGCCCTCTTTAAAATTTTCGTCTGATGCATTACAATACTATACTTTAAATTTTGGTATAATATAATTGCCATAATATATTAAGATATTACTGGTCGGTTAATTAAGGATATAAAATAAATATAAAACAAAAAACTGTTTTTTAATGAGGAAAAAAACTGTTTTTTAAAAATACTCTTAAAAAATATTTTATAGAAAATTTTTAATTAGCTCAAAAATGAAATATATATAATTATTTTTTTTGTAAACAATTTAACAAAATGAGTGAGTTATAATATTAAATTTAAGCAATCGCGATATTCAATTGGATATCTGTAAATATTTTAAACATCATGACATACAATTGGTTAATTGTAAAATGATAATGGTTCCCTTTTTTAAAAAAAAAAACTAAATTAACATTTGACAGTTGTATTTGAAAGACTTTAAACAGTATTATTTTATATCTTAAATCAAATTATTTCTATAATGGTATAGGGTTAGTTCCATTCATAAATTTAATTTTATCTGGGTACAAGGTTTGTTGGTATCCTGAAAAAAAAATCGGCATAATTATATGAAGGATTAGGCCTTCATATAAATCACGTTCGCTCATTTTGGGCAGGTCTATGACCAACGTGCAAGATAAGATAATGAGGATATTTTTTATCAAATTATAATTTAAAAGTAATTAATTTTTAAGATCATTTAAACGATTTGTTATTCTGAATCACATTTATTTTTAACTTTTAGAGTATTTTTATTTGATCTAATATTGGATAAACCAAATAAATCTTTAATACTAAAAAAAATAAAATAATAACTTATTAATTCGGTATTTTAGATTTCCTGGATTTTACGAACGTTAAAGACGGTCAGGGGATAAAGATTTGGCCATCATCAAACAAGGTAATTTAAATATTTTACTCCTATTTTTTTCTATTGGAATTATAATTTTCAAAAGTTTGAATCAATAATATACATACTACAATCCAGAGTTCCGGGAAGTTACTTTGGAAATGTATCTCGTTATATGCTTCTATCTACGCTACATTTAAAAAACTTTCAAAAATACGATACTTTTTGTAAATAGACATTTGACAAAAACTAAATTATATTTTGCCCCTTTTTTAATGATGACCAATTTTTCATAAAATTTTTGATTCAAACGTCTTTGAGTGATATTTACCAATCCCGCAAATTCTAAAAGTATTTCCAATGCCGTTAAATAAGTTAATATTGTATTATATTTCAAAATGATTTCCTTTATTATCGTATATATTTATTCAATATCATGGGAGTTTGTTGTTAAATTGGGTTGTGTGATTTTGTTGATCAGCCAAAATAAGGACCTAATTATTTAATTTGGTATTAAACTAGAAAAAAAGAAAAATATTTTGTATTTAATGAGCCGCCTTGCATTAATTTTGTGAATAGGAATTCCCCATCTCAGTTTGTAATGATATGGATGGGAAATTTTGGCTAAAAAGACTGAATTAGCATTACATTCCAGGGCAAGATCTGACATCTTTCATTTTTTTTACACACTAATTAAGCATTAAGCAAAGGTAAACTAATCAACCCCTTTTGAGTAAAATAAGTTTTTACAGAACTGCAAATATTACTGGAATTAAGTTACTATAATATTCTTCTATAAGATATGATTCATTCTTTTAAACTTGCAAGATAGTGTTTTTCTGAAATTATGGGAAGTTTGGTATTTTGTTTTAGTATCGTGGGTATAACTTCATGAAGGCTTTCATTGCGTAATAGACGGAACCTTTAGAAATTCGCCTAATTTTACATGAAATTTTTTAAAAGCTTTTGGCCTGCTGGAACGATCCATAACAAAATTGTTGTATTATGTAAAAATGTTATGCAAAAATTTATGGCAGAAAACCCCTCCTAATATTGTTTTCTTCTATAGGAAAATCCTGGATACTCCTATAGACCATACCGAAAAATTATGTTAGGCGACATAATAACATGTTTATTTTTTGTTGAAAATATAGAATAGACGAATTAAAATATTTGTGAAATATAAGCATTATACATTTGGATCAAAACCCTTGACCAATAGTGCCGTGCGTCATTAGCCTTTATAATCTCAGAGGGACTGAAGAATTTTTTTTTGACTAACATTTTCAAGGCATTTTTAAAAAAAATTCAAGGGGCTTTAAAAAATTTTTAGAGCACTCGAACCACTATCCCCCTCCTGGTGACGATACTGTTACCAACATCTTGCATTAATATCTGATATAAACTATCCCCACTGCCGTCCAAAATTTAAAATCATTTTTTATAATTTCATATTTGTATTTAAAACTTAAAATACTTTATATTTACAAACTAAATATAAATAATTTATACGTATGAGTATTTATTGGTTGTTGGGGCTTATTGGTATTGTTGAAGGATTGAAGGATGAGTTGTTTTTGTACGTGGGACATATCATAATATCTCTCCTAAAAAAATTAGTTTAAAAAATATAAACATGATACTGAATATATTATTATTATATTTGAACTTTAAATAAATTAATATTCAAAATGAATATAATTCATAACAATTATCAGAGTTTTATATCATCCTCCAATAGAGTTTAAAGGCCCAACATCTTCTCGTTATAAATAAAAATATATTAATTTTTGATAAATAAGGAAATACCAATAATTATCTTCTATCGAATATTGTTAACATTATAAGTGTTTAATTATTTTTATTTAAAATATAATACAAAAAATAAATATTATACTATAGGTGATGTATAAAACTTTGACCAATCGAAACGATGAATTAGGATCCCAAGCGAATTACAAATGGTTTAATTTTGCGTATAATGGCTCCAACGTTACAAACGAGAATCCAATCAGAGTTCAAGAAAAACGTAATGGCATAATATGGGTAGACGAGAATGAAACCACAGGAGATGCCCAAAATACTATCGCCTTCAGGGGTTCTCTCGATAACAACCATGAGTGCGCATGTCAGAAAAAGACAACAGAAAATGATAACATTAATGTTAATCCCATATTCAGTTGCAATAAAATGATGTACAAGAAACCCGGCAGTGCGGAATACAAACTTATACCGCTCCTTAGTTTAACCCAACTCTCGAATACAAATGAAGAGAGCAACAATACACCAGTACAGAGCATAGATAGCGCGGTGGAGTCGCTAGACAGTTCTGGAGGAGACACTCAGTCACCTTTAATAGAGGGAAATACGCAGCACGAAAATTATTTGCGCTATCCGGTATTGATAATAAATGAAAACTCGAAGGATACGTTTTACCAAGGATTTTATAAATCGAATAATTATTGGTTTCACCACCCTCCGAATTGTGTGAATCGGAATAATAATGAGTTGACTACGGGAGATGGTAACGTGTATGATAATAAAATAGGGAAATGCTCAAAATGCGGGGACATTAAGCATATAGCGATATCTTCTTGTTTCGTGGATAAATGTGATAGGGAAGCCCAAAAATCGATTGTCGACTCAAATCTCCTAATTTACCGAAACCAGCCGACGTCAGAATCAGGACATAGTAAAATAAAATATTATTTTTTTTTATATTAGGCCATTTCCAAAATATAACTATCCAATTAACTTTTTAAAAAATACTTAAGACATTTTGTATCCCTATACATTATTCTTATTCTAAGTAAATAGCCTTTGGACGCAGATGTTAGTTAGTTGTAGAGAAAAATTAGATTTAATCGTTTTTATTTTCTAAGATACTTCTCTCATCGATCAATCATCTAAAACGTGTCAAAATGGTAAAGAAAAAATAATGATGAAAATATGTACGTTGAATCAATTAAACTATAAGGATTCGCCATCTCTTCTTTCCAACAAGAAAACATTTATAAGCGTTGTCGATCAACATATCCCAAGTACATAATTTTTTTAAACATTTTTCGGAATTCATTTAACTTTTTTTTGATCATATTTAATTTTCAAGTTATTTTATTATATCTAAAAATAAAATGTAATATAATATTTATATTTTAATTTAAAAAAATGTGAATTTTTAGAATTAATTAAACCCCCACAAAAAATGGATATGACTAAAAATCTGTTGAAATATCGCCAAGACCTCAGATCGCAGCTCAGTCAACCTAATAACTTCTCATTACCAGTATCGCTTGAAAATCCTTATAAAGTTTTTTTTAATTTTATTTATATAAATATTTTATTTTAAAAATAGAGCGAGAGAGAATTATATTATTTAAAAAAATGTTGATATAGTCATAATCAGATTGGTCTAGCTGTATATTATATTTGTTTTTTTTGTTAGTTAGAGAATTTTTTCTAAAAAAATATACATATCTTATACTCGTTTTAGGAAACACATTTTTAAAAAATTAATTTTTATTTATTTTTGTTAGGCTAACGATTGGGACACTATTTTTGATAACGAGAAACTATCCGAAAACGATTTAATAAAGCAAATCGAAAAAACGATAATGGGAATATCGCTGCTAACGAGGCCTACTAATCATTACGATCTCACTTCTAATCCGAAGAATTTATCGATTAAAATTAGGAATATTAATGACTCCAAAAAAATTTCAAATTTGTCTATGAACTCACCGAAAGTGGGAGATAAATGCTTTAATGATCACAGTAAAAAATATATATAATTTAATGGTACAGTAAGTGCACTAACTTAGCATGGTTTACATTCTAGCTATATAAAAAATCATAAAATACCTCCCAAAATCTAAAAAATGTTAAAACAGTTATGCCAAAAATAGAGAAAAATTTCGTTAAATTATAAAAAAAATTCTCAAATATGTTCGTTAATAAACTAACTAAAACATCTAACTAGTTTGTAAACTAGCAAATATTTATATTAGTTTTAATATTATATTTAATTTTATATGTTAAAATTATTTTACATATTTTTCATCCATAAAAAAATGTTTATTTTGTGAGGAATTTAGTTTAGCTTATAATTTGTTACCTTAAGGTTTGCTTAAAAAAAATAAACGTTTCCCTATTCTTATTCCATAGTAAGTAAGAATAACAGAACATATGATTAATATATTATATTTACAAACTGATTGGAAATTAAATTTTGTATTTATTTTAAAAACATTATAGATGCGATAATGGATGTAAAGGATCTCACTAATGTCCCTATTACCATGTCAAATGACCATTTGATAAATAATAAATTTAAGGTATATATAATTATTTTAAAAAATATTATTTATTGGTTGTCATTAATTACTAATCATTTATTAAATTTATCTATTTCTTAAAAAACTGAATTATAAAAAGAATGCTAACGATCGAAATGATCTCTTTATATCGCTCAATTGCAACCAAATAAGTAATTCAAAGCTTAAACATTTAGATATACTAAATCCATCCTCAAGAAAAAACGTGACTCAAACTTTATACAATACTAAATTAGATAAAGTTAATAATGCTACCGAGTTCTTACCCACCGACTCAGAGGAAAATCAAACGTCCACGTCTACTTTGAATACGGTTATATACTGCGGAGGAGGAAAAGATAAGAACGATTCCGCCTCTCAACGTTTTGACGATAAAACTTTGTTTAAACCGAATCACAATTATATTCTAAATAATGTATTGGTTACTAATACCATCTAAAAAAATTTTATATAAAAAATAATATTCTAAATGATCTTCATGTTTTATAAATATTATTTATGTACACAATGTATTTCTTAATATATACAATTTTATATTAAAAAGAAATTATGTTTCTTCAAATTATATACTATAAAATTAAGTTTATTTTAAATAACTACCTCCATTATATTTATTTAATATTAAAAAAATTTCCAATAAAATAGATCAAATTATCCTTATTCGATTCGTTCATAATTGCAAATAGTCCTCCTCATTTAAGAGATATTAAGAATGGGCAAGCGGTGTTAAAATGTTTTTTCGGGAAATGTGGGGACACTTAAGCAAATAGCGATATCTTCGTGTCTCTGGATAAATGTGACAAAACCCAAAAATTGATTGTTGACTCAAATCGCCTAATTCACCGAAACCGACCGATGAGTAGATTGATGTAGAAACAGGCCCAGACCCAGAACTATCCATTCGATAATTTGTGATTTACAAATATTCTCATGACCAGTCTGTCAATCTTGAGTTCACCCTAACCGCTCCGGAAATTTTAAAGTGGGATTAGTCTATATGAGCGCTTGACGCTTTATTACGCCACCTAAAGTAGGTACAAAGCAAAAATCTTGAAATTTGAAGCCCCTAAATTTAAAAAAAATTTGAATTGGATCTCCTCGCGTTGTGGGAGATTCTATTAAGCCTTTAAGATGCAAAATAAAATTTTAAGCGTATTTTTATTTCATTGTGATACATATATTTGGGTTATAGCTTCAATTTTTAGCTGATTCACAAAAAAAACTGGGAAACGCAGTTTTTATAGGTAAAACTATCCTCAAACTCAGGGTTATTTTATGGGGCGCTAGTTATACATTTATCAAATCTTAGAGAAGGAAGAATTAGGCGGCATTCTAAGTTGGATCTGAACTAGCACGATTTAACAGCGAATCGATTTTTAAAATCTCTTTATGAGATCAATGTTTCTATTACAGTCAATAATTATTAGATTACTATTATGAATGAAATTAAAGATAAAATTAATATTGATAAAGAAAAATTAATCTCATTAAAAGATTTTTAAAATCCCCCAGCTGCTAAATTGCATCAGATCAGATACCATTATGAATCCAACCTTACTCGATCAAATTTGTCAAGGCTTCTAGGTTTCATCAATCTTTTTTTATATAAAATATGTTCCTATGTGCCTCGGGCAGTCATGTTAATATTATAGAGTTAAATAAAATTGTCAGATCATTTCTTTGTTACCCGTCAGGTCATAAGAATCACTAATAAATACTCTCTGTCTTGATGGCACTTCGATGAGACAACTCATCTCTTTGAATATCTCGTGATATATATTCTAGTGGCACCCGCTTCTTTTCCCTAAAGAGATTTTCATTTCCCTTTCAGACGCGAATATTACTTTTGATGATTTATTATTGTAATTAAGACCAAAATGTTTATTACTATTTATATAAATAAAATATAAAAATTCAAATAGTATTTTTAAAAACAGCACCTTCATCTCATTTAATATGTTTTAGTCTAAATTTATCATTTTATATAAAAACTTTTTTTTTTTAAATTTTTAACCTTGGTCGATTTGATTATCATAAACGTCAATTGGATTAATTATTGTTTCAAATATAAATAATAAATAACTTTTATATATTTTTATTATAATGATTATATTTTTAATGTTTAGGTGATTTCAATGCTCTGAACATTAAGTTTAAGTTCAATATTTTGAATAGTTTTTACCTGAAAGCTTTATAACCATGTAAAAGTCAGTGATAAAATACTTTATTCTTCTATTTCAAAATATAAATAAGTATTTACAAACAATTAATGCAATATAATTGTATTCTGAATCTCTTCTGTAAAAATATAAACAAATCGAAGGTATATTAATACAAATATACAATTTTTATAATTTAATTTATATTACAATTCAATAATTGACATAATGTTGAATGCTATTCCATTCTAATTTGGGTTCACCCTTACAAAAATATTCTTCGGTCCATTTACGGCATTCCTTGCACCTAACTTTGCAACACCACTGAAATTTGCAATGACACTTATAAATCTTCATCACTAATCTAGTATCGTAACCTCTTCCGCAACATAGTAACAAGCAGCCGTCGGGCCCTAAGGAAGTTTTCTTACATGGTCTTCCAGCAGTTCCCATGGAGCCTTTTATATTTATAAATATGAATTATATTATGTTAAATAAAATTTACATCATCCTTATAAGTATTATATACTCTTCAATAAAGTAAAACTTTTTAAAGTGGTAAGGAAATAACAACTTAGCTATATTAGGTATTGTTATTATATTAGATATTAGCTATAGGCACCAATGCCAGTTGTTAAAAGCCGATCTAATAATCCGATATCAAGTTGATGTCGGTACTGATGATCAATATTATATCTTTAATAATAGCCTAAGACTAATAAATATTTTTAAAAAATTATCCGTCATTTTGATATATCATACCGATTCGATCTGTTATTTTTTAACAAAACATGGTAGAGTATATTTATCTGGTATAAAAACTAATCAAGAAATCCTCATTTGATTTGGAATCTTTCAAATTTTAAATCATTTAACAAGCGCCATTTTTTAAATTTGACTGGAGATGAATTCCAGCATGTTTGGAGTATTTCCCTTAATAATTTCAGACAATTTCGTCATATATAGTTTTAATAAATTATGAGAAAGTTATAAAATAAAAAAAAATTAAGATTAGTTCAAAAGTTCAAAGTAATTTTCTAAATTTTACAGGATTAATAATCTCTATGCATGCTGGAATTCATTTCTGGTGAAATAAGATTTTAAAATTGGGTCATTTTGAATCACATTGGGAGAATTCCTGATTAATCCCTATTCCAGATTAAATTTCCACTATTGATTAATTTGTAACCTGCGTGTAGATTTTGTTGACAAAAGCTAGGAGAATCCTCTAAATATACTAAATCCGACATTTTTGGTTGTTTTCGGGTATCTCTTTTGGCTATCAAAGAGGAGCCATCTTGGTTTATCATAATGGGATACCCATTGTCATATTTCGTTTTCAAATATTTGCCTATGACAGCGAAATTATTCATTGACCTCCAGCAAGTGCGTATATTGCATGAACCACTCATCCCATGACATTTGCATTCTAACTTGACGGCTTTTTTTACTGCCTAAAATTTTTTTATAATATAAAATCACATATATACTACTATTTTTATGTGCCATCGAAATTCGCAATACTGACATTATATATATATGATTTGTCACTTCATCGCGCAACAATTTATAGCTTATATGTATGATAACTGGTAATGAGTGATATATGGGAAACATAAATCTATTGTTATGACTAGTGGTGTTACAATGATCATGAAAGCCCATATGTAATATTTTCCATGGGCTTAAAAACAAATATTGAACATTATGCCAGATAAGGCCGCTTTATAGGTTTTTTATAGTTACCATTTTAAAGGTATTCAGCTTTCGTGTATTTTATCTTGACCTTCAAGGATAGTGGTAAAATCAGATTCAGCATAATTTACCATCCATTTTCAATTTATCTAAGTGAACTAGGGATAACTGGACATGTTTTTGTACGTGAGGGATAAAACATTGTTTTTAATCAAATACCAAACCAAATATCAATCTTAAAAGCTTTAATTACAACCATAGATTTTTAGAGAGACTAAATTATATGAAATTAATTTTATGGCCAATCAACCCAGTATAGTGTTGACTGGCTATACTAATTTAAACAATATATCACTAAATGTTATGCCTGAGAATTTATAAATAAAAAACTATTTTTAAAATACTAGTTTAAACATTATAGAAAGGAAAAATCGTAATTTGCTATCATAATTCTAATCAAATATAGTTTTATAGGAACATTTTTTTTTCATAGTTAAATTGATCATTTTACCATATTTTTTTAAACATCTATTTTTTCTTAAAGATTATAATTTTAATTGATAATTTATATAAATAATTGAAATTAACAGTAAAAAATTAAATTAGATTTAAAGCCCTCTTGACATGACACGGTAATTTTTTTTAAAAAAAAGTGAAAATAATATTAATCAAATCGACAAATAATTTTAAAATTAGCTGCATAAATAATATTTATTATATTATCGTTAAATTTGAGAAAAACTTATAAAACTGGTCAATTTCAATTGTTAATTATTTAATAATAATTTTTAACAGCTCACTCACTCAATATAATATATATTTTATTTTAAATAAAATTATAAATTTATATTAATTAAAATAAAAGAATTGATATCCTAGTGAAAGTCAGATATTTTATCGAATGAAATATAGATTGCGCATTTAGAAAAACGTGCTTAAAATAATGTGTAAGTGATTATATTTAAAAAATTATATTAATAATAAAAGGAAATTAATTTTTAAATTTTATAATAAAAAAAAATTGAGAATATTTTTTATATTATGGGGATGCATATTATTGGATAGGTGTTTTTTAACATTAAATCTTGGTGTTATATTTTTTAAATAACGATTTTTCTAAATTTCATGATATTAATGAAAATTTGATGGTTTATTTTATTTTTCTTGACAATTATTATATTATATAAAATATTAGCGTTTTTTCGAGAAAAAAAAAATGTGATGACTATATTTACAAATTGTGAGAAATTAATTTTAAATCAATTATCAAAGTGTCAATCACAAAAACTTTGTATATATTAGTTTGTTAAATGATTTATATTATAAGTGAATTTTAATTTTATTGATAATATATTTTATTTTAGTCGTTTAGGTAGTTAATTAAAAAGGGCGCACCTTTAAATGCATTTATATTGAAAGAATCGTTAATCTAGTAGTATACATGTTAGCAGCAATGTCATTTTCCCATTAGTTTTTTTTTTCTATATACCAATTTTATGAATATTAAGGCAATTTTGCCTTTAACCTTTGAGTCATTTTTAATTTTCAAAGGTTCATAAAATTGTCTTAAATTCATATGATAGGTATTCCAAACATGATGAAATACATTTTCGGTAAAATAAAATTTGTAAATCATAAAAAACGCGCTTAAAAAGTCATTAAAATTTAAAAAAATGACATATTACAGGGAAAAACACATCGACGCTAACATATATATCATTGAGAACACCTCTTTCACCATATTACATAAATTCACCTTTCCATCCCTTTTGGAAAATTAAGAAATAGAATTACGATTTTTTTTTCCTGAAATAAATCACAGTGAGCGTGAATTCGCGGAGAAGTCATAACCCATATCTTTCTAACCTTTAATCCTATTCACTTGCTTAACCTTAAATATATTACATCCAATTAAAAAATTTCCTTGAGTTTCTTTAGGCTTATTTTTAATCCTGGCCGAACTTAAAATATGAACTTTAGATTGCTCTATCATTTAATATAAAAATCAATTTTTTTGCGCGCAACGCTACGCTTGTTTTAAGTCAATGAAAAAAGATAAGTTGTGACAGCAATTCATAACCAAAACCAGAAATCGGGACAAATCTAGGACCGGAAACTAAAACATCTTTTTTTAAAATCAACTTTAAAAAAAAATTAATCAGCTGATACAACAAAAACCATTTAAAATTTTTTTTAATTATGTTTATTTCCTTTAACCTTCCTCCCAACTTTGTTGTTATGGATATTCATGAGTGCTCTGCCATCTCGTTGCAACTTTTCCTTGGCATCTATGAATATTCTCGAAAATTTGCAGCCAAAATCTATGTTGTCTGAACACCCAGCCCAAGTGAATAATTGTCCGGTATAATCTATGTCCACTTTGCCATTGATTTTGCGAGGGTCGCAAGCGCAACCCTTCATTTCACCTCTACTACAAGATCGGATGAGAGAATAAGCGATTCCGGCAGATGATATGGAATACAAGAATGCCGTCTCTCTTGTGCCTATTTTAAAAAAAATATAATTCAGGTATGAGAATTTTTTAAAAAAAATTTGGGTCTGATTTGTAGATTATACTATATATATTAGACTTAAAATTCCTTTGGCCCATGTCAAATGCTCTTTTGACAGTAGCACGCTACCGCTACTCTTAAAAAAAATAATTAGAGCGTTAAAAGCCACCATTTAAAAAAAAATTTGATTACTATTATTATTTTTTTTACAAAATCCCATTTTTTCCCAAAATTAAAGGAAACAAGAAGAGCATTCTTTTAATATTTATCTTTCATTTTCAATAAGGAAAAACATAGATATATTTTTCTCTAGATCCAACTAAATTCTTAGAAAAACTTTAATATATACTTTTTAAATACTAAAATTAAAGTAGAATCTACATTCCAAAAATGGATATTTAATAAAATTAATTTAATATTATGGATAAACAAACTGAAAATGAACAATTCAAAAAAAAATGTTTTAATGAATATCACAAATCATTTGATTTGATCAAGCGGATACAGAACCTTAAATTAATATCATTATTAAGAACTATAATTAGGTAATTACTATATTCTTATTCATTTAAGCCAATTTTTAGCAGGTTAAAAAATCGTGCACCAAGTTTTTAGCAGGAAACTATTACTTCATGGGGCCTTTTTTTAAGCCAGGCCCGATCCGAGCGATTTTATATCAAAAATTATTCATCTTTCCGCCCCGGCCCGATTTAATCAAATGTAGAAATTATTTGATCATGTTCTTCTCTAAACAAAATAAAAATTGGTGCCTTAATTCTTGTAATAATTTTAAATATATCAATTTTATTTGAAAATTTAAACCCAACAGGTCTCTACAACTACCTATGCTGTTGAGTTATATTATATTTTTGTGAAATTTAGCGATTTAATTTATGCAATCTATAGAAGAAAATTTATAAAGAAAGGGGAGGGGGATCAATCTCCGTTATCATTGAAGCTCGGGTGGGTGGGGGGAGTTTAAAGGGGGTTTTGCGCCATGTGATCAGGGGTAGATTTAGAGGGCTCCGACAAAGAAGATTTTTTTTAAAAATTATTTTTTATGTGGCTATATAATAAATATAACCGAGTGGCTATTCGCGTTTTGAAATCTTTTATAATTCTTAAAATAAGGTATTTCTTTTTTTACCATCTTAAGGAAAACCTACAATTCAGAAAAGTAGCTGACACCATTAATTGTTTTTTTTGAATATATAGATATTGACAATAAGGGTGCGCAAGTCAATTTATTTTTAAAAAAGATTAATTTATTATTAACATTTACGAAATCGAGTCTGGATGCATAATGTATAAATGCGAGAATCATTTTCGGAATTTTTTTTTTACTTTTGTCTTTGATCTTAAAATATATATATTCTTATTTTTTTATATTTAGTATAAAAATTATATCCTATTTAAACAGCTTTGAAATTCTAAGAAAAAAAAAGAGGAAAATAGGAAGAATGTAATCTAAAATATTTTTTTAAAAAATGATATATAATATACCCTTAAGTAAAAACTTCCCTAAAAAGTAAGAATTTTGATCTAACATTGAACAGTTCCATCTATGTTTATGGAATTGATTTTGGCACTCTCTGACTCCCATTTTTAGGCCGTTTCTTAAGATTATCATGGATTCCGGGTAATTATGGCACAAGTGCTTTTGATTTTTCATGAGTCCTGGAATGGTATTGCATAATAGAGATCCCATACCTAAGGATTGGGTGGATAGTTTACTGATAAACCTAAATTATATAATATAAAAGAATATAATCAAATTTAATTTTTTTTAAACTATGTCCAAACTTGTTAACTTATTTTTTTTATTAACTTCACTAGTATGAATTACTCAAATAATCTTATGGAACAAAATTTTGTATACGAAAATTTAATTTCTAGTAAAGTTATCTAAAAATACGAGTAATTAAAATGGTATCACGTCAATTCGGCGCCGAGTCAATTTACGCGGCGACAATTGGACACAGCTTTAATTCGGCGGGGCGTCAATTCGGCGCGTATTCAAATCAGTTGCAATTTGTTATAAATTTATTAGTATAAAACAAAAGGATGATTAAATAGAAGTCATTTTGAAGGTTGGTCCTATTAATTATATCTTCCTTTTTTTAAAATAAAAATCTCATTTATCTAATTGTGCAATATGAATAAAAAATTTAATAATGTCAAAAAAAATTAATAAACCAATATTTATGCCCTGAATTCTTTGGTGGACCAATTTACCATGTTATAAGGTATGTTGATTAGTGATGTTAAACAACCCGATTAAGATTTTAGCCAAAATAATTTTATGTAAGCCTGGAGATTTTGCGCATATATGGCAGAGGTTTGAACCTCTATCTCGAATCTTACATATTATTTAGACTTAAATCTTAATTGGCTGTTTTTTAGATTCAAATTGATCCCTTTTACTATACTTATGTCGATCAAAAAAATTCAAATTATTTTTAGAATTATTTGTAAGGGATTGACAAAAGGGAAGTCTCATGCGAGTAGTTGACATTTTTCAATCTTATGTAACGATTATATTCGTTTAGAAAATAATTATATTGACTTATTTTTTCCTTTAAGACTGACTCATTTTATAAATTTATTGTAAATCCTTAAACCAATTCTATTGATCATTTTAAAAAATAAATATTATGATATAATCAGGGTTTCAACCGAACCGCGAAATCAAAACGAACCGTTATAGAAAAAATAAAAAAGAATGAACCGAAATGTTAAAATATATTTGAACCGATTTAACCCGGTTCATCATGGTTTTAAAAAGATTTAATTTTAAATTATTAAACTAAATTTTAAATATTTATTTTCCTTGGGGGCGATTTAAATTCGTGATTTCTTTTCGAACTAAAATTTTATTATACTTAAATCACCATTATCCTCATATCAATAAATACCAAGTTTATTGTTTTTACCAGGGTTTCGAACCGTTTAGTATAACGGTTCGGTTCGTTCCGGTTTTTAGTTTAAAATTTTATAAAGGTTTTGTTCCATTTCGGTTTTTTAAAAAAAAATCATATCGGTTCGGTTCGGTTTATAATTTATAACGGTTCTTTTCGGTTTGTTCCGGTTTTTATAAATTTAATTTTAAAAAAAATTAATCATTAACCATGTATATATTAATTTTAGAGAAAAATCTTTTTAGTTTATAATTTCTTATTTAATTTATCCATGATAATCTAATAGATATTTTTATTAAATTTAGGAAATATAAATTAGACAAATTAGTTTTTTTTTATTTCATAAATAAATAAGATAAAAACAAACATGCGTAAATACAATAATGAATAAAATAATATGTATACTATACTATTTAGGTTTAAAAAGAGAATTCGAACGGATAACTAAAATATTTTCTAATATTTCAGGATTTAATTTAGTTCCCTGAGCAGAGAGTATAAACTTAAGTCTTGAAAATGCTCTTTCTACGGAGATCTGCGTAGCTGGAACTGCTAGCACAGTTATAGCTAACTTATAAAGTTCTGGCATACTATTCTTTACATTTTCCCAATAATTCAAAAGATTAGTATCTTTTTCTAATCTCTCTATCAAATGACCGAATTATATATTCTATTTCTATACATTTATTATAATTTTCGATGCCCTGAGAATTATTCTTATTAAGACTTTCATGCGACTTTAATAAATCTTCAAAATCATCATCTAAATTATCCTTCGAATACGAACACGTAGGCATAGTATTTCGAATTTCAATATTCTGATTATTTAGATTTTGTATCAAGTTCCAAGTTTTACAAAGATGTTTTCTGGCGATCTCTCTTTCTTCAAAAGTTAAAAATACATTATATCTAGGGTCGAGATAAATAGCAGAGTAAAAAACTTCATTTTTGAAATTTATTTCTCGTGCTTTCATCGTATAAACTAAAAGTCTGGCAAATGGAGTGTCTACTTTACTCGTTTGCATGAGACATTTGATCCACGCAGCATAAAAATCGCCCATTGTCAATTGTTCACTTTGTAAATATTTTGTAAAAACATAAGCTGGATATAAAGCTTTTAATATGTCACTAATGATTTTAAGATATCTTATTTAATTAACAGATAAATTGTCTAATCTCTTATAAATTAAGTATTTAAAGAAAAAACAACAAACCTGGTATTATTTTATATATAATGTTGATAATATAAAAATATTTAATTTGATATATAAAGTTGATAATATAGAAATATTTAATTTGAAAAGAAATCACCAATTTAAAAAATGGCCCCAAGGAAAATTAAAATTTTAAATTTAGGTTAATAATTTAAAATTAATTATTTTTAAAACCGTTTTGAACCGGTTCAAAATATTTATAACGGTTCGGTTCGCCCTTCTAATATTTTCTTCATAACGGTTCGGTTAAGGTTACGGTTCAGAAAATCATAACGGTTCATTCCGGTTTTGCGGTTCGGTTCGGTTCGAACCCCTGGTTTTTACTTTATATACTTAATTTAATAGAGATTAAGCAAATTACTAGTTAATTAGATTAGAATTAATCTTCATGTTTAAATTAAATAAGGAATTATAAAAATATAAATATTTGGTTTATGATCATTTTTTAAAAAATGAAATTTATAAAAACCGGAATGAACCGTTATAAATTTTAACCGAACCGATATGAATTTCTTCAAAAAAACAGAAATAAAACCTTTATAAAAATTTAAACTAAAACCGAACAGCTTAAACTGTTCTAAACCCTGGTTTAAATAATCTATTTTTTTTAGATTAACATATCTTATACATGGTCAATTGGTCCACCAAAGAAATAAGGGTATAAAGATTTGTCTCTTAAATTATTATTTTTTTTATAAATATTTTATTGAATTTATGCATGTAAATAAAATTTAGATTCTTGTAAAAAAAATGAATCGCTTCTATTTAATGATCCTTTTGTTTTATACTAATAAATCTATAATAAATTGCTTGTATTAGATAGGCGTCAAATTGACGCCATGCCGAATTGACGACATGCCGAATTGACGCTATGCTTAATTGATGCTGGACTGAATTGTCGCTGAGTCGAATTGAGGTCGCGCCAAATTTTCAGAGTCAAATTTTCGTCCGCCAAATTATCAGCGTCAAATTTTCGTCCGCCAAATTTTCTGGGCCGTACTCACGTCGAACCAATTTAAACTATTTAAAATTATGAGTAAAGTTATCTAGAAATGGAAGTATAGTTATCTAAAAATACGAGTAAAGTTATCTAAAAATTAGTGGAAAAATTTGAAAACCTGTAAAATCAAACTAAGATGTTGTATCTTAATGCCTTAAGAGTAAAAACAAAAAAAAAATTGGCGTAGCCTTAAATTAAGAATTATTTTTAGGCTATATCTTAACACAATTTAATTGTTGTTTTTAATTCTGAATTCATTTTGATTTTTTTAATGGATTTTGATTGGCATAAAGGATATGCATAACTTTAAAAATAACCTTTAAAAGATGTATAAACTTCTTATCTTTTTTTAAATAAAAAAAATTAACTGTTCAAAACAGCAGATTAGAATTCTAAACAAACAAAAAGGTCGCCCTAGGATGCAACCTAAGAGAAAAAAAATCTAAATATTTTATTTAAAAGAAATATTATAATTAAATAATATGTTAGGAAAATGCTGAAAAGTTAAATCGGCCCTACCCCGATAACTAAAACAACGAATCTTAACATTTCCGGTCAAATATAGACTTACTAGAGGTTTACAATTTAATTATTAGGGCTTTTGAATTTCAATCTTTTTAAAAATTATCCTGGATAATGTTGTTAAACGGTTCGATTTTAGCCAAAGTATAAGGCAAGCATAGAGATTTTGCTTATAAATGACAGAAAAGTTTGGACATCTATTAACGAAATCTTGAAGCCTTGCGTAATATTATTTTGTCTAAACTCTTAATTCGAGCCTTTTTACAATCACTAGGCTGGAGGTATCTGATAAATATATCATAACCAAATTAAACATGTTAAGAAAAGTGTTTTTTTTTTAAACTTACCACCAGGTAGCAAAATTTGGGTCTAAGAATACGAAAAATATCAATAAGTCAAACAGGTCAAAGTGAATAAATTTAAGGTTGCGACAATTCATTCTCGATAATCATTTTTTTATGATTAAAGTTTTTTTATAATAACATTTTCAATTTTTTAAAGTTATAAAAGATACGACACAAGTAAAAATGATATTTATTTATAATTCCTAAATAAAGTCGGCTAAAAGTTAATTATTATTATTTTCATTTCAAAAATTAAGTTTTAGTTTTTCTAAATTAAATACATTAATTAATATTTTTAATAATTTATAAAAAGTATATAGTTATTTAATCTGCGGATATTAATTATTATATTTTTTATATAAAAAATCTTTATTTAAATTTTTTTTGTGTGACATATAGGTAAGATAATAAAATGAAAGTAATATAAATTCATATAATTCATTTTTTTTTATAAAGACAAACAACTGAACAGTCCAAACTATAAAGAAATTCTTTCATTTTTTTTTAAAATAAAGTTTTTTTAAGTTACTTTTAATCCTTTACAATTTGTAATGTTACATAATTTTACCTTCTTTTTTGTGAAAATTTAATAATATATTATTATAATAATTATGAATAAATTGATAGAGATAAAATTAATTATGATAGATTATATATATTTAATCAATTTTATCCCTTTTTTTTTAGTTGTTATTTAATGTGATTGTTTATTTTGTATTACATATATATATTTATTACCATTATGTAGTAATGTGTAATATGTATTACTTGTCGGCAATATTGTTTGATATTAGTTGATATACCTACCTTAAATATTGAAACTAAAAGGTAGATTATAAATTGGTCGATTATAAAAAAAGGTTCCAATTAAGATTTTGGCCAAAATAATATTATGTAAGCCTCGAGATTTGGTAAATAGAGGTCCAAATCTTTCTGGCACCTATGAACAAAATCTCTAGGCTTACTACTATTTTGGCTAACACCTTAATCGGTCACTTTTTCGTTTAACAACACTAATGAAAGTTTATAATGTTCCAAGTCAAATCGGGTAATCAGTTTATAGGCGAATTCCTTCAATCGTATCGCGTAATATTTTAAAGAAATTGTCTGAAATATAAAGGATAGATGATTCTAGACGTGCTGGAATACATTTCAGAAACACTATATTCATGCAAATATTGCATTTAAATTGCTCTTTTCTCCGATACTTATAATATATATTTATTTTTATTTAGTAATTTTATATATTTTTATATATACTTGTTTTAATATTTTAGTGTTTTATCAATTATATTTTAACATTCTAATTTTTAATATGGAATAATACATTACTGCAATATTGATTTATCGAAAGTGTATAAAGAACACTATAGTTCACAATCGAAAACGTTCCCAAGAATATTCCCTAAATTTTCTTAGAAATTTCCCGACCTCTACATTAGCATAGTTTTATACACATATTATTTTGGCTTACCTAACCATGGGCAGAAAGGTATAAAAAAATACCCTATATCTCTCACTATGAGTCTTCTTTTAAGTTCATTTAAAATTATATGGCTATACAATCATATAATATATTCGAAATTTATGCTTGTAACTTTATTTTTATCGCTAACGATAGAAACGAAATGTAATTTTTCCCCGGTCTCCTAGTCCCTACATAATATTGTAATTATTATTTCAATTTTAAAATGTGGTGAATTTAAGCGAACGCATAAAGTAATTATTTAATTTCTTTTTTGAATTATAAACTATATTCAGTTAAAAAAATTTAAATAATAATAGTAGATTATTAAATGGATTTACGAATCGAATAATGATATGTATCCAATTTAAGTCTTATCTAGAACCATATCACAATGTTTATTGCTATTTTATAAAATCTGATAATATACTAATAGATATAGATTATATAATATAATAAGGACTAAATAAATTACTTATGTTATATAATTAAATCAAACTGTTATCGTCAAACTCAGAAAATTTTTATACAAAAAAGAAATATAATTATTTTATTACTCATAAATTATTTTTATAGCAAAATCAATCACATTTATCATATAATTTCAAAATAATCTGAACCTCGTAAAAAGAGATATAAATTTTTGAAGAAAAAACTGATAATTAAACATAATTTACAGTAGAGATTTATAAGAGGCAATTTTTTTCGAACCAAGACCAGTAGGAAGAAAAGCATTTTTCCAACCCGACTTAATCCGAAATAAAAATTAATTACAAGTCGGTTTGATTTTGGGGTTTTGCGGGCCTCTAATATAGTGTAAACGGGTTATAATATTCATCAAATTGAAGCGGTAAACGCGAGAAAGTTTATTACTTGAGTAGTATAACCATTGACGTACGCAGCGGGGGGGGGCAGGGGAACAGATCCCCCCCCCAAGCCAAAAAATGGAAATGCCGGATATATTTTTCAAAAATATTATTGTTTATATTAATTTATATTTGTTAATATTTATTCGTATCTCATATTAAATATATATTTAATTACATTTATTATCACATTTATCTACTAAGTTATTTTATCAATTAATTTCGATTTGAAGTTTTCTGGCGTAATATTTACTTATTATTTTCAAATTTTTAGTGGCGTAATATTTATCTACCATTTTCAAATTTCTAGTCAAATAATAATTATCTGAAACTTCTTGTCCAACAGGGAAAAAGAAATTGCAACCTTGTCCAACGAGATAGAGTCTCTGCCATCAAGCAGTAACGGCTTTTAAGGAGTTAGAAGAGCCAATTATTTGCTATTACTGAAATATCACAAAGGCCTGAAAAATATTTCCTCAGAAGCAAGAAAATTATTGGATTCAATGCTTATTCCAAATTTTATTTCTCATTAGAATGTATTATTTAATTATAAAACTATTTTAAGTATTACTTTTCAAAAACATGACATTGACTTGATTAAGAAAATGAGAATAGCGGAGGGCATTTTATCAGAACTCAAGGAAATTAGGGCTAATGTTGATGAAGAATTTCATATTTTATATTTTATTGTTGAGTCAAAAGCAGAGCTATACGTGTTTAATATATATCTTCCTCGACTTGTAGCAAGGCAAGCTCATCGTTAAAACATTAATATAAGATCAGTAGAAGAGTATATCTTAAATACAGATACATTTATAACCCAAATAAATGAATTTTTAATTTATGCAGCACTTATTAATCTGCAAATATTACTTCCACAAATAGGATACCTTACTAGCTGAATAACTATGTTTATAAGATTAACTATGGTTGATATTGTCCCAAAAAATGCTATGGATGCTCTGCATTATTTCAAACACATTTTAGATTTAAAGATTTTTTACGGATGGCCTGGGTTTTTTTTAAAAATTTTCAGGCCCGGCCCGGCTTTTTTAAAAAAAATTTTAGGCCCGACTCGGCTTTTTTTAAAAAATTTTCAGGCCCGGCCCGGATTTTTTTTTAAATAAAATTTTTAGGCCCGGCCTGGATTTTTTTAAAATAAATTATATTTATTTTTGATTTTTATAGCTAATAATAACGATTTCAAATATAGGCTGTTTTAAAAAATACAGCCCGGATTGGGTGTTTTTTTTAAATAATTCAGGCCCGGCTTGAGTGTTTTTTTTTAAAAATTTCGGGCCCGGGTATATTTAAAAAAATTTAAATACTGTCCGGCCCGGGGGCCGGGCCTGTAGGTCTCTAAAAGGCATACCAAGAAGTACAACATCTGAAAGTAGATTGAAAGGTTTGGATCTTTTGAATGTTCATAGGCATTTGACGACAAGCAAGGATGGGATAATTGAAAAATTAGCTCAATCACAACGAAGAATGGATTTTACTTTGTAAATATATAACATACAAAATGCAATTATTCCAAAGAAACTTTTTGTGTAAAGAAAAAATTCAAATTTCTATTTTGGGTCATTTAAGTAATTCTTTACATATAATTTTTTTATAATTCACATTAATTTAAAATTGTGTATTAGAAATAGTTATTAGTCTTAATAAATTTATGCTTGATATTTTTAAATAACAAAAATATTTCTTAAAAAATTTTATTATCCCCCCCCCCCCCAGACCAAATTCCTGTGTACGCGCCTGAGTATAACATTATGTATATTGGATTTCTTGGACCAAAAAAAAAGATATCTATTTACTTCAAATAAATAATCTATATTTTATTTTTTTCGTTGCAAAAGGAAATATTTTGATTCATTCATATCTAACGAGAATATTTCTGTGTATATAATGATTTATTCTTCCTATTTAAAATATAATAATACTTGTAAATAAATGATTTTTTGCTTATAATTCATTAATATAAAGAAAATCCTAAATTCCCTATGATTTTATTTAAAAAAATTGTAACCCCAAGATAATTCTAATGTTTCCGCGATTAATGATATTCGATTACTAAATTACGTTAATAGTCGCCGCGTCACATAAATCTAGGGCTTATTTTTTCGTGGGGCATACAGATCTCTTAGAACTATTTCTGGTACAAAACCCAGAATAATACCCAAAAAAATTAGGAAGATGTTTGCATGAAAAATAACATGGCACAGAATCCCGCGAAGTAATGTTCCGGACAAAAAGAACGGAAAGATCTCTGGCCATACCAGGAATAAAAAGACACTGGACAAAAAAACACCGTTCAAAAATACGAAATTTATCACTAATCAAATCAAATTTATATATTCAAAATATTTTTTCTTCCTTTGCGCTATGTTCAATATCGTCATAAGTATCAGCATCTTGATCTGTCCATGTATGGTCGGATTTATTACCAGATGTTATAGTCATCGGATATATTTGATATTATTACATAGTAATCGTATAACTAAGAACACATATATATAGATAGGGGAGGCGAGTGAGGGTAGGGACACCTTTCGTTTAAACCTGAATAAATTCAAAAATATTAAACTAAATAAGTAAAATATATTCTTAATTTTAAAAGTATGGGCTATTTGAAATAGTTAATATATTTTTTTTTATAAATTCTATATTTGTTTAAAAAAATTGAATTTGTAAAGAGTTTATTTTTTGTCCCAACCATGACATACTCTAGGTACGCCACACATATGTGATAGTTGGTCCACTCATAATATGGAGCTCTTTATAAATAAAAAAAAATAAAAATCGATATTGCTAAAACTAAATATAAATACTACGTTTGATTTTATTGATAATATTGTAATACATAACAAATAAGTATATAAAAAAAATCCTACAAAATTTAAGGAAATTTATTTAGGTATAAAAAAATTGTAAAATATTCTTTAAACATAAAGATAATAATAAAATAAATATTTAATTACATTTATTGCTCATATAAAAATTGACAAATTTGTAGTTGTCACAACACAACTTCGGTGTGCCCATCCACTACAACAAATACATTGGCACCCATCTTCATTTTAATAATTTTTTTAAATATTTTTTATGATGTATTGCAAATTATATCTTTTTTTTTGAAAAAATATGTGATGGATCTGAACTGCTTTTCATTTCTTATGCTATTTAACAGAGGAGATATAAGTTGTTTTGCTATATTGTATATTATATTTCTCACTAGTTCAGTAAGTGGATATATTTTCAATATCAAAATTATCTTCTTTACATTGGCATATAACATAATAATCTTGAGGGGCTGTAGCCTCTTTGTGCCTCTTAGGCCGACAAGTTATTTTCTAAATCTAGAGGGTTAGAAATTTTTAATGGCTTGGGTGATGATTGTTATAAAGTTGTCTGTGAATTGTCTCTAAAAACTTTGGTAAGTGATTATTTTCATCAAATATATCAAAATTAAAAAGATATATATATATATATACCCGTTACCTCAAACGATTTTAAAATATTTTTAATCGGTAAGACGAGTGGCTGTATATAGGAATCTCATAAATAGTAAATAATTTATTTGGATTGCTTCGCATCCATAGGCCCACGGAATTAATGTAATATTTTTTAAGAGTCCACAAACGCTTCTATCAAATGCTGCATTTTATGAGTTGTGTGTGGAGGCGTTGATAGTAAAATGATGACAGAAGCAAAAATTAATCACACCAAGCTTGGTGAAAAATAGGATTGTCTATATTAATAACATTGGCTTATCTGTTAAAGGCCTCACAAAGCAAAATGTTTTAAATAATCAATCAATTTTATTTCCTGCCAACTGTACCCATTTAATCTTGGGAAAAGGAACATAGGTGGGATGGCATTCCCAACAGCATAAATATCGAGAATTATGGTTACTAGGGTTCCACTTTCGACAGATATGGAAAAAAAAAAATTATTTTTAAACTATCAAAATAAAAAAAATTAAGATCAAATCAAATTATAATTACAAAGAACAATTATCTTTATATTATCTAAAAGTTATATTATTAATTAATTAAAAATCCTTTATTCTCATTATGACACATTTTACTAGGTTATTCTTCTTTTTAAAGTTAAATAAATTTAAAATAGATGGTATTTGTTTTTGAAAATGTTATATTGGGATATAATATAAATTGTCATTAGACTTGTAGCTAATTTTTAAAATATTTTTAATAATAAAATATTTATTTATATGTTAGAAATAAATAGATAAATTAAAATATATATTGTAAGCTTCTTTCTCTAATAAAATATACAAGACAACTAGATTCGAGGAAGAACAAATAGTAGATATATAATAATTATATTTGCGTATACACCACTTTTAACAATCGTAATTCCTTGAAATATATCATACTAAGAAGTCATTTGATAATAAAAAATAATCAATGTATAGAAAAATCAATAATAATCTTTTATAATACTAATATTACCATTTTTTCGAATGTATATTAAGCACAAACGCTCATAAATGTAAATTATAAAACTGATAGGTATAACAAGCCCCCACCCTCTTTTTCTTTAGGATACAATACAGGTACGATAAAACAATTTATGAAAAATATATATAATTCACTTAAATCATAAATTCAAATAAAAATAAATGATACAAAAAATACAATTTTTTTGAAAATTATTTTATTTGCTCCAGGATGCTCCATATTCATATTTTATTTCCCAAGGTGACTGTACTAATGTTGTTAGTGGTACCTTTTTTGTACTGGGTTGTATGTCATAGCATCTTTGTAGTTGGTCATAGCATTTTTGGTAGTCAGTCTTAGAATAATTAGTCAAGATCATTCTATCTTAGACTTGGTGATTAATACAAGACCATTTTGGTAGACTGGACAGAACATTTAAGTAAGTCAAATGTGATTTTCCTTTCCAGTAAGGTATTTTTTTATTAAAAAACATTATACCCAGACCACTTTTCCTTATTAATCATAATTCTTAAATTTAGATATTAACCAATCTTTCTGATTCTGAGTTAATTTAATAATATTTATTCCATATTTAAATTTATTTTATCCCTCAAAAAATTATTTTACTATATAGATGATGTATTGGTAATGGGAGTGGTGCTTGAATAAATTGCCTGGAGATTAGAGGAATTATTCCGAAGGATTAAAGAAAAATGATTGCGGCGTATTGTCGAGAGAGGTTACGGAGGTGGTATATCTTGGACGCAAGATTATTGAGAAAGAGGTGAGGTCATTGAACAAAAATACGACGTAAATGGCCAGTATGTATAGACCAAATAATAAAGTAGAGGTGCGGGCTCTTCTGGGGAATGATTATCACAAATTCGTGAAGGGGTTTGCGCATATAGCGGCGCGGTTGTATAAATTGTTAAAGAAAGGGGAATGATTTGAATGAAAAGTGAACAATATAAGGCGTTTGAGAAGTTGGAATGTAGAATTGGAAGAGAACCTATCTTAGTATGCTTTAATAACGGTCTATAAGTGGTGTTGGCATTGGGTGATCATAATAAAGGTGCTGGTGGAGCATTATTACACTGCATAGATGAGGAAAGAGCGGGTTTTTATTCTCAAGAAATTTTAGTGCAACGGAAACAAGATATTCAGTTATTGAACAAAACCCTTGTGCAAATTTTCGAAACGATAATAAAGAGTTGATGTTGTCGCCTAGATTATAAAGATGGTCGTTATTAATGGGTACTTATGATGTGCAGTTGATTATCGATGTGGGTGAGAAAATTATCTACCAAATATTTTGTTAAGGTATGGAGTTGGAGAAATTTGCATATAGGACACGAAAAATTGAACGATAGAAATGAGCAAGCTCTGATTCAAAGCCGGAATATCTAGAGGTGGACAGGTAGATTAAAAAGGCTACCTTGAAAGATCGCGAGTTGACGTGAATTGAGGGCATAATGAGTTGAAAGACATTGTGAATTGTGGATAGATTTAAATATAAAGAGCTAATGATAAGAAACGAATGCGTGGTATAAGGAAATCAAGGAGTGGTACCGTTAAAATTAAGGGAGTAGGTGTTAGCCATGATTCATGCAGGGCAACAGGAGTTGAATGGATAAAACATTGGGGACGAGAGTATGTGAGGTGGCTGGGAATGAATAAAGAAATTTAGGATATAAGTAGAAGTGGGTAATCTATAATACTTAAGCCAGTTTACCGCATAAAGACAAGGAAAAAGTACGGCTGAAGGTTTAAAAATTATATTGACAAAAATATTTCTATTAAATAACTTTAAAAAATTTTATAAAACTTCAAAAAGTTTAAGAACCCTAAAAAGTGCTGTACAAATCTATAAGTGGCACTAAACATAAAAATGGTGAAATCAAAATGTGGTGCGAACCCTATCAGATTTTTAAAAAGACAACGGTGTAAAAATATAAACTCAGCTCTCAGCCT